CTCTCTCTCTCTCTCTCTCTCTCTCTCTCTCTCTCTCTCTCTCTCTCTCTCTCTCTCTCTCTCTCTCTCTCTCTCTCTCTCTCTCTCTCTCTCTCTCTCTCTCTCTCTCTCTCTCTCTCTCTCTCTCTCTCTCTCTCTCTCTCTCTCTCTCTTCTCTCTCTCTCTCTCGCCCTTAGAATCGGAGTTTTCTTCGTGTGAAGCGCTTTTAACGATATCTGAATTTTCATTTCTTCCATTTTTTTTCACGCGTTTTCAAATCTCGTGCTGCGGACGAGCGACTGTGATATTATTGTAAATTTAACGGCCTACGTAAAAATTTAAGTTTCTTCAGATAATTCCCTTCAGATTATTTTCTACAAATCGCGCGGAATAAGGATCGTTTAAAGCAATCTCTGATCGAGACATTCGGAATCGCGGAAAAAATTAAAAGTTACAGAAAGCTTGCAAATTCACCGAGCTTACCGAACCTTATCGAACTCGCGAATTCACTAGTCTACATATATTCAGTGGGAATATATGCGCATAGCTATCATCGTTTAATTTAATTTACTTTCAAGTAATTTCAACCGGAACAAAGCGCTGTTCGTAATAGGAATTCCACATATTACCGGCATATGGTCCTTAATTCAATTTCCAATTTTCGCAGAAAATCAGCATGCGAATTTAATCCAACATTTTTCCTGCGCAGTTTTGCGAGTGCGTTTGTAGGTCATAATTTTTTATAGGATTATGGCAAGCAAATCGAAAAAGAATCGGAGAAAAAAATCAGAAAAATGAATATTGGCTGAAGTTGGAGATATCGGAAAAGAAATTTCTTAGATTTCTTGGAACTAGAAAATTATTTGTTTATGCTGAAACTGCAAAAGTGAAATAAACGATTTTTCATTTGGCGATATTTACAACCGTTTCTCAATACTCGCAATTAATAATCCTGTATTAAAAAAAAAATTTTTAATTACATCTTCAAATTTTATTTATTACAGATACTGTGACATTACCGCATAAAATTTGATGCTGTGTACAATTGGAAGAAAAACAAATTATCCAAAATAACACGTGTCAAATTATTTTGCCCGATTCAGTCGTATTTGTTTTTAATTGCGGAAAGCTGCGGTAGGAATTTTCTTACGTTGATTATTATCATCCTCGATAACAATTCCTCGTAATTCCGATCGTGATTACTAATAATTTATACGGTGGTCACGATTGCATTAGGATAAAAGATTCCCCGATCTTCTTCCCCCTCTTTGTTCTCTTCGTTGATCCTTCGTTCTTTTCTCTCACGACTCTTACAAATTGGATCGTATCTTTGCCCAAGCGTTTGCGAATTAATCGTCAACTCGTCGCCGTTTACGAGGGTCGTGCTCGCCGTTTTCGTGACGACCTCGCTTTTGTATCCATCCACGGACGGATGTCCATCAGCCGTGGATAGCATCGACGTTAAATTCTTACGATACTCGTCGCCGTTACCTTGACTGGATTCTACATCGGCTACAGCTTTTTCTCTCTTTCGCTCTCTTCCTCCCCTCCTCATCTCCCTTCCTTTTGCGATCTAATAATGCAGAAAAAAACGCGGCTGGTGGGCGTACAATTTATTTCTGGTTCGCTGTCTTTTTATTTTATGCCCTGCCATGTATCACACGCCGTGTATAGGCGCGATACCGAAGTGTATACTCCTCGTGCGTATTATATATTTTGCACGCCCCGGTGCTCCCATCCGTCACGTCTATTACGTGCACAGCGCCGATTCACGTTTCGTCAACTACCATTGTTTATTATTATCATCATCCTCGTGCGACGGAAAAATCGGAGTCTCTCGGAAAATCTCGGGAGTCTCTTTAACGCAACGTAGAAATTCATTCGATGCAACGCGCGCGACGGTTTTATTGACTTTTGCAATTCCGCAAAAGTCGACCGGATCGCTTTAATTCCTTTTCACGTAGCGATATGACGAGCGTAGTATCTGAATTACGTCATACCTCTTACGTCTCTACGTCATACGACTACGTTTCTATAACTTCACGGGATATCGATATCGTCGTGGTACTTAATATTTGACACGGCGTACGAAGTCTCGTGGTGTTCCTTTCGTTTCTTTATTATCGCTTAACATCGCTCGGTTTTGTACAACAATGCGACGCGTAAACGATTCACGCTGGTATCCGAGTTAGTTTTTTTTTTTTTTTCTGTTTACCCTGGACTTGGACGATAACGACGGCCAGATGGTTCGCGCTAAGGGCGAGTTCTGCTCCCCGGACACAAAATATGATTTTCATCTCTCATCGTCATCAGACTCTCGAAGGACACTAACACGAAATAACCGCTATCTAACTCATCTCCTTTGCGCAAGCTTGCCGCTCGTACTGATATAACCAAGCTTCTCGCTCATGAATTTTTATAGTTTGCCAAGTCGTAATATCGAATTCATCACGGGAGCACGAAGCTTCACATTTATACGCGGAGAACGTGCCGCTGGAAAATCAAGCGGATGAAACGTCGCTAATTAGTTGCTTTTCAGAGAACAGCTTTCACCAGAATTCGCCGTAATGCTTTTGAATCGCGATGTCGCTACGGTGTTATATCGTAGAAGCGAAAGCTCAAGTTTCCATAAATGGCTTCATAGAACGCGCAGATAACGCGACATATCGTTATACGTTATATCTTATATAATGTTACGCCGTTCCTCGAACTCTACCACCACCGCGAGAATTTATTCAAATAAGAGGCACAAAGGGACGTCCATTTTCCCAATTACGAATGCCCCCTCTGGCAGAGGGACGAGATACGTTTAATCTCTTTTTGACGCGTATTAATACTGCAGATATCGCGCGAACTGAAATCGTATATTTTTTTAATTCCCGTGACGCTTCGCGATGATATGATTCCGCGTCGATCCCCAATCTGGCTTTTCGCACTTTTATCCGCGAACGCGGAAGTACATCCGCGACACGTCAGCGGTATTTCCGTGGCATTTTAGCATAACCCGGCGACCGAACAGCTAATGAACACAACGAGCCCACGGGTCAGGCCGGTCGGTCGTTCGGTCGGTCGGTCGGTCGGTCGGTCGGTCGGTGGGTCGGTCGGTTGGTTGGCTGGCCAGCAAAGTCCCGAACTGATATCA